CGCGCCTTAGTTCCAGCTACTTGGAACGCTGAGGCGGAAGGATCACCAGAGCCCAGCGGTCGAGGCTGCGGTGACTGGGAGTGGCCACTGCACTCCAGTCTGGGTGACAGAGTGAGACTCCAACTAAAAAATAAGTAAAAAATTAGCTGGATGTGGTGGCATGCGCCTATAGTTACAGGTACTTGGAAGACTGAGGTGGAAGGATCGCCTGAGCCCAGCAGATCGAGGCTGAGGTGTCCATGAGTGTGCCAGCCTGGGCAACACAGAGTGAGGCTTTAACTCAAAAAAAAAAAAAAAAGAAGTTGGTAATTCTCTTGATGCTATTTGTTTACTTCATTGAGCTGTAAAAACAAAGGACCTACATGCAACACTAAACCTACTGCTGCTCCCACGAAGAAGCCCCTCCTGAGAATCAGAAGAGGTGCCCCTAAGAAAGAAACTCTTTGTTTTTTTTTTTTTGAGTTGGAGTCTCTCTGTCGCCCAGACTGGAGTGCAGTGGCTGCTCCCGGCCACCGCAGCCTCGACCTGCTGGGCTCCGGCGATCCTTCCGCCTCAGCCTTCCGAGTAGCTGGAACTACAGGTGCGCTACCACGCCCAGCTGATTTTTTTATTTATTGTAGAGATGAGGTCTCGCCAAGTTGCCCAGGCGGATCTCGAACCTGCGGGCTCAGGCAATCCACTCACCTCAGCCTCCCAAGGCACGGGATTACAGGCTGAGCCACCGAGCCCGGCCTCTCTTTGTTTTTGAGTCAGAGTCTCACTCTGTCACCCAGGTTGGAGTAACACCTAGCCTCGACTTACTGGGTTCAGGCGATCCTTCCGCCTCAGTCTTTTAAGTAGCTGAAACTACAGGTGTGCGCCACCATGCCTGGCTAATTTTTTTATTTATTGTAGAGATGAGGTCTTGCCAAGTTATCCAGGCTGGTCTTGAACCCGTGGGCTCAGGCAATTTCACCTTGGCCTTCGAAAGTGAGCCACTGTGCCCGGCCAAAAAATTCTCTTTTTAAATTTATTTATTTTAGCTGTAATCCTAGCATTTTGGGAGGCAGAAGCGAGAGGATTGCCTGAGCTCAGGGGTTCAAGACCAGCCTGGGCAACATGGTGAGACCTCATCTCTACAGTAAATCCAAAAACTTTGCTGGGCATGGTGGTGCATGTCTGTGGTTCCAGCTACTTTGAAGGCTGAGGTGAAAGGACTGCCTGAGCCCAGCAGGTGGAGGCTGAGATGGCTGTGAGTGTGCCACTGCACTCCAGCCTGGGAGACAGAGCCCAGGGCTTTGAGACCACAAAGCCCAATAAACACTACCACTCTGTATCCAATAAACACTAACTCCAATTCTCCCTCCCTCCAGATCCTGGTAATCCCCAGCCTACTTATTCCATTTCTGGGAATTGACTATTCTATTTATCTCATATAAACGGAATCATAAAATATTTATTCTTTTGTGTCTGGCTTATTTCACTTAGCATAATGTCTTCAAGGTTCATCCATGTTGCAGTATGTGTCTGAATTTCTTTTCTTTTATAGATGTTTTTAACCTTTTTTTCTTTTTGACTACTCTGCTGGTATTGAAAAACTTTCAATAACAAGATGGTTGGTAAAAGGGGAAGTCTTTTTTTTTTGAGCTGGAGTCTCACTCTGTCGCCCAGGCTGGAGTACAGTGGCTCACTCACAGTCACTGCAGCGTCACAGTCACAGCACTGCTGGGTTCAGGTCATTCTTCCGCTTCAGCCTTCCAAGTAGCTGGAACTAATTTTTCTTTTATTGTAGAGAAGAAGTTTTGCCAAGTTGCCCAGGCTGGTCTCAAAGCCCTGGGCTCTGTTGTTTATAGGTGTGAGCCATTGTGTGAGCCCTGTGTTTACAGGCGTGAGCCATTGTGCCTGGTCAAAGGGGAAGTTTTGCTAACTTTTTGTAATTACTCAGCTGTAAAGTGGTTCTGAGTTCTGTATTATCTTTTTTTTTTTTTTTTTTGAGTCGAAATCTCACTCTGTCGCCCAGGCAGAGTGGCCACCACAGCCCTAACCTGCTGGGCTCAGGCAATCCTTCTACCTTAGGCTTCCAAGTAGCTAGAACCACAGGCATTTGCCACCATGTCCAGCTGATTTTTTGATTTATTGTAGAGATGAGGTCTTGCCAAGTTACCCAGGCTGGTCTCGAACCCGTGGGCTCAGGCAATCCTCTTGTCGCTACCTCCAAAATGATGGTATTACAGGCGTGAGCCACCACGCCTGACTCTGTACTATTATTTAAGCACATCTAAGCAGGGGTCACAAATTCACAGGGTACAGGCACATGGGTGGAAAAGCAGCCCGGACTATGGTGAACTGGAGAGACCAGTCTCTTACAAAGTTGGCCGCTGTTATTTAGTTACAACCCATGATTTCCAATATGAATGTAGGCCCAGTACTGCATTCACAGATTTGATTTTTATATGTTGGCCAACGTTATTGGCCCAAGCAGAGCATGTTTGCTGGCCAAATCTAGCTCAGAGGCCAACAGTTGGCAACATCTGCTAGGGCTAATAAAAACCTAATGTTAGTGTGTCTTGCTTCATTCATTCATTTATTCATGCAATAAATATTTACTGGGTCTCTAAGACAGGCTATGCTACAATATGAGGGGAAAGCCCTTCAAAACCCAGAATTTATTTATAGAAAAAAATGTGTGTTTATTCTTGCATGTTTAAACTTCAGTCACCTTCAAAGCACTCTCTGTTTGATGCAATACACCTATGGAAATGCTTTTTCCCCTGCTTAAAATGGTTTTTGAACTTGTCCGTTTTGATGCCTTTTAATGCATCTGCTGTTGTCTCACCGCTTCCACATCTGCAAAACGTTTCTCTTTGAGGACTTCTTTCATTCAGGGAAACAAAAAAAGTCGGGTGAATAGGAAGGGTGGGGCACTGGGTCACGCCATTTTTGGTCAAAAACTGCCAAGCCCTCCAACATGGTGTGGGTAGGTGCATCGTCATGGTGGAAGAACCAGTCATCTGCTTGCCATAACGCCAGACGTTTTTCTGCAGCGCCGCCTCTCACAACATCCCTAGCTAGTACTCTGATGCCAATGTGTTCCTAGAACCCACACTTATTGGGGGAAGCCTGTACAAGTGGCCCGCCCTCTGAAAGATAATTCCGGTTTTTGGGGGGGTCCCCCTCGTATAGTACATCTTATTGTTTAAAAAGTTGCCTATTTTAGAAGGTAATATCATTGTCTCCCTTTCACATATGAAAAGACAAAAAACAAAAACCCGAACAAACAGTGGAGACAAATAACTTGCTCTTGGTCACACAGCTAGGAAATCCTGAAGTGGGGTTTGAACTCAGACTGTTTGTATGCATAAGTCTGAAGTCCTGTCTCAAAGGAGAGACACTCAAAGGATAGTGCTGACTTCTTTATTGTAGAGACGACGTTTTGCCAAGTTGCCCAGGCTGGTCTCAAAGCCCTGGGCTCAGGCAATTCTCTCGCCTGGGCCTCCCAAAGTGCTGGGTTTACAGGCAGGAGCCACTGTGCCTGGCCAAAAGGGAAGTCTTGCTAACTTTTTGTAATTACTCAGCTGTAAAGTGGTTCTGAGTTCTATATTATCTTTTTTTTTTTTTTTTTTTGTCGGAATCTCACTCTGTCGTCCAGGCTGAGTGGCCACCAACCACAATCCTGACCTGCCGGGCTCAGGCAATCCTTCCACCAACACTTCCAGGACCGGCGACTTTTTTTTTTGAGCTGGAGTCTCACTCTGTCGCCCGGGCTGGACAAGTGACTTTTAACTCGTCTGGAAGGACGATTTCAGCAGACAAGGCCAGGAGGGCAACGCAGGCGGAGGAGATCGCCCGAGCGGGGAATCAGCATTAAGACCGGCAGGAAACCAGCATGAAGAGGTAGTGGGGCCCCCGATGCCGCTCCACTTTATTTCGGGAGAGGTATCCGCTCATCGACAGCTGGCGCCTCATTATGAATTGGAAGAGAAGAATGGGGGGAAAGAGAGGGACGCCTACCAACCCCGCAGCTGCAGCCCGCAAGCCCCGGCGGGCGAGGAGCGCCCGGAGCTTTCCCGCCGAGGCCCTCCGCCGCCCGCCCCGCCCAGCGCGACGCGCGGGGACTACAAGTCCCGGCATGCAGCAGGGCGCGCCGGGAGCTCGCGCCGGCCCCGCCCCCGGCCCAGACCCCGCCCGCGCCCCGCCCCGCCCCCCGCGGCCCCCTCCCGCCGGGTCAGCCCCGAA